ACATGCTTGTTGGGAATGGTGATAAGCTGATAGATTAATGGGTTCCTTCACAAAGAGCCTTGGTGCCATGCATAATACGAATCCGGATGCATATGAGATGAACAAGGCGTTCACCACCAAACAATGACAACAATCCGCTTTTCCACAACTCACTATCTTCGTAAATACAAGCGTTGAACCAACCGCTGAAAATCGCTGCTACCTATCGTTTATATAGCATATGAACGAGATGAAGTTCAACCAATGCAATGCGACGAAAGGGACAAAAGCCTCTCGATACGATAATGTAAATTATCCAATCTCGCTTCCCGACCTTCCAATTTCTATTCCCATCTCAATCCAGAAACCAACCAAGTGATCCACATCTTGCACATATGAGCTGATAGCACGATACCCTTCTAAAGATGATGTTGAATCCAAACTTCATTCAATGAAAAATTCGAAGAATAGTACATGGTAGTGTGGATTTTATCAAGCAAATAATACGACAAAGGAACAGGATTGAATAAGAAGCGGGTGAATCACATAGAGGGAATAGGGATGATTGTGTCATTCTATTCTTTGTTGCTGCCGTCATCATCATCCTTCATCCATAGCTGCTGCATGCATCGAATCGAGTACTCCAATATCATCCATGGCTGTAAACACCTTCCGCCAAAGGTACAAGCCCTCTCAATCCATCATCATCCTCGGCCATGTCCACGCGCCACGATGCATCGTTCCTGCTGACGACGCGTCCTTTAACCAAAGGAACAATCCATCTTTCCCAGTCACTGCACTTGGTTGCATGCATCCATCCATAACGATTGTAAGTCCAATAACGCTACTGATAGGCATCCTTTTCCATCAGGGTGTTGGTCCATCTCTTGCTTGATCATTACCTATCGCAGCTCAACTAAGGTGATGATGGCTTGCATTGTGTTGTACTTGATAGCTGATATGGCATCATCCAGAGGAATTCATATGTATTGAAAGCAAATTGATGACACGTAAACAAAGCTGCTTCTATAAAATGGCTATCTGTTGTCCAGGCAACAAAGGATGCAAGGGAGGATGCTGCAAGTGAATAGCACTGCTTGAGACAATAGAGTAAGCTGTTGCGTTTGGTAGTGGCAGAGGAGCGTGCAATAGCGTGTGTTGTAGTAGTAGAGTGACAAGGTTGTGAACGCTGTATGAGACAATGGAGTAAAGACATCGCCAATAGCAACTGCTGGAATGAACGCTGTTACGTTTGATTGTCGTCGACGATTGTACAAGAGAAGATGAAGTGTCAAGAAACGCGGGTGTTGTAGTGGGCTGCACACGCCATGGACTTGCCATTCAGTCAAAGACATTCGGATCAAGCGAGTTGTAGGATGGACATGATGGGTTGAAGCAGGACAATCGGTTGCAGGTGGTAGTTGTATACTTGAATGGGGCAACAGTTGGGAATGGGAGGAAGAGGGAAGAGCTGAGAGCGGGAGAAGTGGAAAGTAAATCGGTCGGACACCTCTTGTATAAATGCATGAACACTGTACATCAAACCTTGATATTGAGATTGCCCCTCTCGAACCTGAAACTTTCACACAAGGTACTCTGGGATATGCTGATCAATATTGTTTTAAAAAAGACCTCATGTTCATTTGAAAATATGGAATGGGAGAGTACAATGTGGGATTTACTATGGAGATCGGAAAGCATGTCAGCGCCGGGTTCATGATCTATGGAAATAGTATGTATTACCTGGGGATTCCCCATCTCGAACGTGAAACTTTGTTAGAAGGTTCGCTGGAACATGCTGATCAACTTCATTCAAATAAAAATCGCAGACTTCATTGTGAAGATGTAAAATGCGGGGGTGTCCAAACGGTGGATGACGGGCAATAAAGAGTGAACGGCCCACCGCCCCGAAGTTGTTCACCTCCAACTTGAAAATTGGTCAGCAGGGTGCTCTCGAGCATGCTGGTCAGCTTTTTCTAATAAAAACTTCACGCTTCATTTGAAAATATGGAATGAGAGCGTCCAAAAGTTTGAAAGACGGAGACATTCGCAGGGTCTGCGATTCATTTATTTTCATGTTTGCTGTTCCAGCGTAGCTCAGTCAAATCAGCTCGGATCAAGAAACTTGAATGATGGAAATGCTCGGCTGGAGCAGGAGAATCGTTCCCATGCAGTGGATTTTGCAAGAATGTTGATTGTGAGGAATTGGCTGATAGCGTGCACCATATGGCCTATTATGGATAGACCATAAAGTAAAATCCATCAATCCTTCCAGTCATGCAAAGTAGCTGTGTTACACAAAGAAGTCCTTCTGCATCTCCGGCTGTATCAGGGTCAAGCTACTTCACAATGAACAACGACCACTTTTCATATAGCATCACGCTTACAGCATATGTAAAACATAAAGACAGCCATATCTCAAAACTTTACAATGAAGTGTGGGGTCTTTAAGAGAACAAGCTGCTCGGCTGAGTCAAAGCGATCTTGTGTCAAAGTATGAAGTTCATCGTGGTCAATCCCAGATTTCGCAATGTCGTAACCAGCCAAACTGGATCCAGGGGTCGACCTCTTCGACGACGACGACCAAAAAAATATTTTTTGGGCTAGTTGCGACATTGAACGTGAAACTTTCACACAAGGTGCTGTTGACCAAGCCGAGCCCATTGCTCTATTCAAAACCCCACGTTTCATTGTAAAGTTTGGAGATACAGGCACCTTTATGTTTTATAAAGCGTGATGCTATATGAGAAGTGGTCTTTGTTTAATGTAATGTAAGCTAGACCCTGACAAAGCAAAGATGCAGAGGGTCGTGTTATGTAACACAGCTACGTTTACATGAATGAAAGGGTCAATGTATAATTACTTTATGGATCGTCTAGGAGCTGAGCATGTGTTGCTAGCTAACGGCTACTTTTATCCAATCATCATTGTTGCAGATCCACTGCATGGGAACGTGCCCCTGCTCCTAGACATTCATTTCCATGATTAAAGTAGGTTGATCCGAGCTGGTC